CTAAACCCCAGAGATGAAGCAAACACCAATGAGAATGCTAACAGAGAAACGAGAGGACGAGACTGAACGAGAAAGAAAACAGAGGTCAGATCTGTGTCTTAGTGGCTCAAACACACTGAGATTAGCTGGCTTTTGGGAAATACATGTTTAAATCACTTTTGTTTACGCTTTTTCCTCCTACATATTCTTGTCAGATCAGTATTTACTGGGACTAGGGTAGGATTCTGACAGTATGATAACCTTGGACAGAAACAAATATGTTTAATTGTCTGGGCATATACAGTTGAAGTCAGTATTATCAGTCTCCCTGTTTATTTTTTACCCAATTTCTGTTTAACGGAGAGCAGATTTCTTCAACACATTTTTAATCATATTAAACTCATCTCTAATAACTGGTTTATTTTATCTTTGTCATGATGACAGCACATAACATTTCACTAGATATTCTTCAAGACACTTCTATACAGCTTAAAGTGACATTTAAAGGCTTCACTAGGGTAATTACGGTAATTAGGCAGGTTAGGGTAATTAGGCAAGTTATTGTATAACGATGGTTTGTTCTGTAGACTATTGAGAAAAAATATAGCCTAAAGGGGCTACTAATATTGTCCTTAAAATGGCTTTTAAAAAATTCTAAACTGCATTTATTTTAGCCGAAATTAAAACAAACAAGACTTTCTCCAGGAAAAAAAATATTATCAGACATACTGTGAATAATCCCTTGCTCTGAACAATTAAAAAGAAAATGGGAGGTGGAGCTAGAGATAGAACTATCAGAAGATATGTGGCAATCCGTTTTAGACAATATCCACTCATCTTCAATTTGTTTAAAACATAGAGTTATACAATTGAAAGTAGTACATAGATTACATTGGTCCAAAGTGAAACTAGCCAAATTGAAACCAAATATAGACCCTAACTGTGACCGATGTAACATTGAGCCAGCTACTTTATCTCATATGTTTTGGGCTTGTTCAAAATTAAAGAAATTCTGGCAGCTAATATTTAAATTCCTCTCGGATGCATTAAATACCTATGTAGAACCTGAGGCCATCATTTCAATTTTTGGGATCACACCACAGTCCTTATGTTTTAACAGAAGCAAGGTAAATGTGATTGCCTTTGCTACGCTTTTAGCTAGAAGATTAATATTGCTGAAATGGAAGGAAAAACTTCCTCCAACCTTTAAGCAATGGCTTATGGAACTTCTACACCACCTGACCTTAGAAAAAATACGATACACTCTAGGAGGCCGTACTGATTTGTTTTTTCTCATCTGGCAACCTGTTTTAGATCACGTAAAAAACATGGACCCCTCAGTCATTTTAGAAGAGTAGAACCTTTCCTTGTTTGTTTGTTATTGTTTTTTTTCCCCTCTATTTCTTGTATTTCCTTCTTTTTTTTCCCCTTATATATGAGAGTAACATATGCTTTACTTATTATTACTATTTATTTGTATTTTTTCTTAATATTATCTATATATTTTTTTCTAGAACCTAAATGTTTATATGTGCGACAGGTTTTGTTTGTTTGTTGTGTAAAAAAAAAAGAAAAAGTGAAAAACTATTTGTTATGCACGTTTAATATCTAATATGTTCAATAAAAATACTTTTGGGAAAAAAAAAAAAGATTACTCATGTTCTTTTTGATGTAATCTATTCATGAACACGGACATGTGGAAAAACTGCGCCCCATGCTTCAGCATCCTGTTAAGAAATCTTAGATATTAAGACCAGAAACAAGACAAAACTCTGAGTAAGAAAAGCCTGTTTTGCAGTGCAGCCTCTTGATCTGCACAAATTTGGATGGTCTGAATCCAGCACAAATCTCATTCCCTCTCTTGCACCACAATAACCTCCTTCAATCAGTCATTAAATAAAAATCAGGCAACAGCCCCCCAAAATAAGACGAGGCAAGTGGGCTTTAACAGCATTTTCAAGTAGGAAATCTTCCCTCCTGCACTCAATTAAACCCAACAGATAATGCCATTACACACCAATCCATCACAAACATCGCAATAAAAACAAACTCAATCCTTTCCTGACATCTCTCACACACACCAGCAAACATATACGCCGCTGAAGAGTGTGCTAATGCATTCGGCGCAGAGATAAACAAGGTGTAAGCGGGACTCCAGGAGGAATGAAATTAGTTCCGTCTACTTAGAGCGAGCCGAAGAGAGACACAGAAGGAGAGACGGCAGAAGAGAAAAGAGACAGCAGAAGTAATTAGATTTATGAGGGCTGCTAACGAGATTACTTTAACACCGCTTTACAGACCGTCAGCAAAAACAGAAAGTCGCTATTTACTTGCTGTTAAGTGGCAAATGCTTGTTTTTAATCTATCCATTGTGGAACATCTGACCAGCATCTGACAATCTTCATTATCGTCACTGCTGATGTAAAGCCTGGTTTATACTTCTGCGTCCAGTGATCGGCGTAACCCATGGTGCATGCAACGCGCGTGGCTGTGCATTTATACTTCTGCGCAGTCTCAGTTGGTCTGCATTAACACTTCCAAAACGCTAGAGGGCAGTGAGGTGTAAATGTTCCTCTGTGTCGAGTTTCTTTGCTGGTGTTTTGTTTTTTCTGAACGCTTCCTGAATGTACAAGTGGCTCAAACTCGCTCATTTAGAGGCAGGAACCGGCGGACGTGCAACAACTTTATCCATGAGGTAAACACAAAACAAAACTTTCCATCCAGAGCTCCTTCACAGGACTCCACACTTGTAAACACTCGCTCAATTGGGCTCGCGCCGCTCTCAGTCCCGCCCAGACTTGTCCCGACCAATCACAGAGCTTGCGCTATGCGTGGTTACGACGTGTAGTTACATTTTTTGAGAGGTGCACAACAGCGACGCCGATGGCCAGGGCGTAGGGCTATGCATCAACACGTAGGCTGCGCCGTAGCATATGCGTGCGCTTGACACAGAAGTATAAATCGGCCTTAACGCCCTATTCACACGGGGCTTCAGCGTCAACGCTTAACTGAAGGCGTGTCTGAAGTTGGGGCTGAAGCGATCGTCATAAAAGCGTCAGCCAATGAAATCCATTCAGCAATAGGCCACTGTCTGAGCTGGTGTATTTGCATACAGCGATCTGATTGGCTGACGCTTCCGTTGGCGCTTGAAAATTTGAGCTAGTCCCAACTTCTGCAGCGAGCAACACCTCTGAAGCGGTGCCGACAGATCCACAATGCAGTTCGGCAACGCCTGACGTCACCCATTCAAAGTGAATGGGAAGCGTTGACGCTGACGCCCCGTGTGAATAGGGCGTAAGAGTGTGAAACTACACACAGAGAGACACACAGAAATTAGTATTGGTTGTTTATGAGGACTCTAAATAGGCATAAAACTCTAATATATGTCCTTACCCTACCCAAACCAGTGGCATTTTACATTACAAGGAAATTCAAGTTCGAATCAATTCAAGTTTGTGTGTGTAGCACTTTTCACAATAATCATTGCTGCAAAGCAGCATTATAAAATACGCACATTATTGCATTACAATCAATTTTGGAAAATTTAAGGTGTTTAAGCTTGACACCCAGTGGTTGAACTAGGTATTGCACTCCTGGTTCAAAACATGCAAGCACAGGTTGCCAGATTGACCACATCAACAGGAGCTAGTCTGACTATCGAGCCTAAAGGCTGATTTAAATCGTGTTGATTTAAAGCTTGATTTAAACAGCACACGATAGAAGGAGTATTCTCCATATTAAAAGGAGTTTTTGTCCTAACCAACAGCTGAAATTAATATATTTAGAAATGGCTCCTATTTCTCACAGCTGAACAACAGAAAACTGACAATGATCAGCTCAGGTACAGCTTATGTGCTTTATTCAGTGCTAAATGCTAATAATGTGAGTCTGAATGCCATTTCACATCACATGTATTGCCAGACTACTGACAGCAGCAGCAGATAGTTCAGCTCAGATCTGGAGAATCAAATAAAGCGTCTGAAACTGAACTTCAGAACTGCAAACCAACACATATCAGTGATTCAGCATCTACATTTAATCATGTTAAAGAGCTTTAATGTGTATTCATTGGATTATAAAGCTTGCCATTGTGCTGGAGTGCAGTGAGTGCACTATTCTGTGCTTCTGAATGCCTGTATTTACATTTCTGTCGTGTTTCCTCTGGTGTAAACAGCCAAATGGCTCATCACTGCAAATCTCATCATGTAGCATGTTGATAGGACCATGTGACCTGCTCACCTAATGTTTGCGCTCCTAATATTTATATTATTTGCTAATTAATAACCTCCTTATGTGGAACTCTGAATCTGCATCTCATTTCAGAGTCTGCTACTGTCCACCGGTGGTCGCATTTTGGTCACAGTAAACCTAGCGTTATATGGTATTGTGTATATATATATATATGTATATATGTATGTATATAAATAACAGTTCAATAGTACATTCTTATAAACCACCTCAATAGAGAACAACTAGGTCATACCATGTCATTATACAACAAACTGTCCTTGTAAACCACCAGTAAGCACACATACACGCACACACTTTGAATTCAAATGCCTGTTTTCCTATCATAGTGGGGACACAGTTTTAACATTATTAAAATAATTATTCATTCATTTTCCTTCAGCTTAGTCCCTTATTCATCAGGGGTAACTACAGTGGTATGAACCACAATCTACTCCAGCATATGATTTACACAACGGATGCCCTTCCAGCCGCAACCCAGTACTGGGAAACACCCATACACACACATTCATACACTACGGCCAATTTAGTTCATCAGTTCCCCTATAGTGCATGTGTTTAGACTGTAGGGGAAAACGGAGCACCCGGAGGAAACCCACGCCAACACAAGGAGAACATGCAAACTCCACACAGAAATGCCAACTGACCCAGCCGGAACTAAAATCCAGCAACTTTTTCTGGATTTTCTATTGCTGTGAGGTGACAGTGCTAATCACTGAGCTCCTGTTCCACCCAAGTTAGAACCCTACATATACAGTGTACAGGATACTCACATGCTTCCAGTGGCCGAGCTGCTGTCGGTGGGCAGAGAGCCATTGGATCGCTCCATCTGTGCCAGCCTGAACACACCAAATCAATGGGGGATCAGCATGACAGTATTACAGCATTATTAAAAGGATGCAAAATATGGATTTATATTTCTCCAAAGCTCCACCATGACTAAACACATACATTCATGTGTAATAAATAAGAATATAAGCTTAAACTATATTTTAAGCATCCCGTGAAGCGCTTTACAATGTGCATTGTTTTTATTCTGTTTAACGTAGTCTCAACTGAAACATGAAAAGAAGGTGGGGCATAGAGTAGCTCCTCCCCATTTTTTAAAACAGTGAGAGGGGTTGAGCTCAAGGGCATCAAATGAGCAGCCAATGAGAAGAGAGTGGGGCATGTCAGACACTAGAGAGCATTTGATTGGTCAGAAAGATTTGATGAGAAACTAAAGTATGAGGTGATGAATTAAACGTTGATTAGTTTAGGCAAAAGCGACAAACTTCAAACTTTGGATGTTTATTCATTCATTCATTTTCTTTTTGGCTTAGTCTCTATTGATATGGGGTCGCCACAGTGGAATGAACCACCAACTTATCCAGCATGTTTTACACAGCGGATGCCCTTCCAGCTGCAACCCAATACCGGGAATGGATGTTTATATCGGTTTTATATTTTCTAAATGTGGATTTTGTCCCTGTTTTGCAGCAAAATAGATTATAGATATCCTTAAAACTAACAGACTGATACTAACACTTACATTTATTTTGTTTAATTTTATGAGACCTTGAAGATACAATTCGCCTTATTAACATGACTTTTGCCTCAATAAACCCCTAATTTGCTGCTTTTTAATAGTTATTAAGTTAATAGTTGGGTTTGAGTATTGTAGGAATAGTGATATACAATAAAATCATGCAGAAAATGTACTTTATAAGTACTAATAAACAGCCAGTATCCTAATAATAGGCAGGTAAAAAGCCACTAGTTAATAGAGAGAAGTGTTATTTAACAGAGTTTATTGAACCTAACCAAAGTCCTAACCTTAACCCTAATAAATAAGTAGTCAAACTGTATTGGATGCCACCAGTTAAGCCTCAATAATGAATAAAATCATAGGTAAAGCGAATGTAAAATGTTACCTCACAACATACACGCCTGAGAATTGTTGCTTAAAGTGTTATTGGACCTTACCGTAGTCCTAACCTTAACCCTAATGAAAAAGTTGTCAAACCTGTATTGGACACCATTAACTTTAGTCTCAATACTGAACATATTTATAGATAATGAGAATGTAAAAGCTCTACTCACACAAACACACGTAAGAATTGTTACTTAACATACAGTACAGTGCAATTGGGCCTAACCATAGCCCTAACCTTAACCCTAATGAACAAGTAGTCAAACTGTATTGGATGCCACCAATTAAGCCTCAATACTTAAAGCAAATCACAGATAATGTGAATGTAAGAGCTTTACTCACACAAACACACCTGAAAATTGTTACTTAACATATATTGCTATTGGGCCTAACCGTAGCCCTAACCTTAACCCTAATGAGTAAGTAGTCACACTGTATTGGATGCCACCAATTAAGCCTCAATGCTGAAAAAATTCATAGATAATTCAAATGTAAAGGGTTTACTCACATAAACACACCGAAATGTATTACTTAAAGTGTTATTGGACCTTACCGTAGTCCTAACCTTAACCCTAATGAAAAAGTAATCAAACTGTATTGGATGCCACCAATTTAGTCTCAATACTGAATACATTTATAGATAATGCAAATGTAAGAGCTTTACTCACACAAACACACCTGAGAATTGTTACTACACATAAAGTGTAATTGAACCTAACCCTAACCTTAACCCTAATGAAAAAATACAGTCAAACTGTTTTGCCCGCCACCAATACTGAATGAAATCATAGTTAAGGCGAGCTTTACTCACTCCCACACACGCACACACACACACACACACACACACACACAGGACTGAAGACTCGTCCCGATGGGTTGCAGTCTCAGAGTTCCTATAATAGGATAGAGGTTTGTGTCGTAGTCTATATTCACAATCCCATAATAACTGCCTGTGAGTGTGTATGTGTGTGTGATACTGACATTGAGAGAATCTCGCTGACGGTGAAAATCCATTTTCGAGTCTTTATGGGTAGAAGGTCAGAGCTGGAGGCAGCCGCTGCATTTGTGCATGCGTAGTGTGTTTTTTTTCCCTCTCGCTCTCTCTTTGAGCAGGTGTAAATCGAATTGATACGCGCCTAATATACTCGATATGGCAGCAGATTAAATTGGTTTCGGCAGAGAGCCAGAGGTCTGATGGGGCATGTGTGCATTTATACCGCTCGTCTGTCATCGCTTTCATATTTTCTTTTTCCTCAGTTTTGCATTACTGAAGCTCTTAAGGACGTTTGTGTCATTGCTGGACAACTATAAACATGAATGAATTCAGAAATGAGCATTGGTGTTATTCACACTTCATTTTCTTTTCGGCTTAGTCCTTTTATTAATCAGGGGTCGCCACAGCGGAATGAACCGCCAACTTAAACAGCATATGTTTAATGCAGCGGATACATTTCCAGCAGCAACCCATTACTGGGAAACATCCACACGCACATTCACACACACACACACACACACACACACACACACACACACACACACACACACACACACACACACATATATATATATATATATATATATATATATATATATATATATATATATATATAATTTATATATTACTAATATATAAATATATAATATATTAATATATATATATATATATATATATATATATATATATATATATATATATATATATATATATATATATATATTATTATAGTATTTTATATACATAAAAAAAAATATATATATATATATATATATATAAATAAATAAATATATATATATATATATATATATATATATATATTTTTTTTTTTTCCCCTCAGTACTAGTATGAGATGCAGAGCTGTGTTAGTGAAAACAAATTAGATATGTAATATTTATTACTGATGCAATCAATTTTGATTCTATTGTTATTTTTTTATACGTAACACACTGCTTGCCGGATGCATTTGTACCATTTATCAAGTATTTGAAAGAAAAAAAAGGCTTTAATAAAGTGTCATAAATCATCATGAACTAAATTCATATTTCTCAGAACTTATTAGCACAGATACTAAAATAAAAGTGCAACCCATCAGTCAACAAATACAGACATACTCAATATAATGTTCAACTGAGTAATGATGCATTAAATGATTGACAGCCTGTAATATTTAACAGTCTATAAATATTGTCAGTGTGTGTGAATGTGTGTGTGTGTGTGTGTGTGTGTGTGTGTGTGTGTGTGTGTGTGTGTGTGTGTGTGTGTGTGTGTATGTGTGTGTGTGTGTGTGTGTGTGTGTGTGTGTGTGTGTGTGTGTGTGTGTGTATGTGTGTATGTGTGTGTGTGTGTGTGTGTGTGTGTGTGTGTGTGTGTGTGTGTGTGTGTGTGTGTGTGTGGGTGTGTGTATTTTGGACATTGAGGTCTGGGAGGTTGAGCTGAATGAGAGTGATCCACAGAAAACAGAGACTGAGATAAAGGTCTGGAGAAATGGAGGAGAAAACTGAAGAAGAAAGCCGTGTCTTAAATCACTCCAGACACACATACGCTCTCTCAGTGTGTGTGTGTGTGTGTGTGTGTGTGTGTGTGTGTGTGTGTGCTGGACTCATTTCACTGGGGTCAGATGTGTCCTGACAGAAGTGTTGACCTCACTAAAGGCCCTGATAGACTCTCAGTGAAGCTCTTTTTCATCCTGGCTAACAGAAGAAGTAGTGTGGAGTACATCAGCGGTGTGTTTCTGCTCTACCTTTATGAGAAGGAGCACACACGTTTACCTCTGATTGTGATAGTGAACGCATCAAAGCCTGCATTCACTTCAGTCGTTAAAGATGATCAATTATGCTGACTTATTACAGGCGTGGTGTAAGACAGAAAGTTTCAGTCGATGTCATTCTCGCTGGAGGAAACGTCTTCAGTAAAGCTGTGCGGGTCGCTCACATATCATATGAGAAGCACTACTCATAGAACAGACGCTTTACACACATACATACTTGTGTATAAATGTTCATTACTGACCTTTCTGTCAACAGGATTTTAATATAACTGCAGATCATTGATAATAGCCTACTGTAACGTCTGTGATTATATACAATAAATAAATAAATGAACACATACAGACTCTTAAGAGGATCACTCACCAGAAATGCTGCTCGCGCCATGCACTTCAGAATTCTAAACATAGGTTTCTATCAGGGGTCACAAATTGGCGTTGCAGGTCGGCAGCTGTCTGCAGCCCCTGGTCAAGACTCAGGACAGTGTTCATACTGGTCACCATCTGAATAGTTTCATTTTAAATAGGATGTGAATGTGCACGTCTGGTGTACGATAGTTTCACATGTCTTGTGTGTGCTGTGTTGTGGTGCTGAGCAGAGCATCCAGTGTGTGATGCCCTTTACAGTTTCCGATATGTTGCCAATTACAGAAAAACTAAACACAGCATACATTTACAACAGTATCTGGATGCAGCCTTTATGATGCATCTGAGATTGCATCACTCAGCGATGCAATGTCAGACACAATGCTCTCAATGGAGTGAGTGACATCACACTGATGGGTAGGGTTAGGTCATTGGTTCCAGCTCAGATTGCACTGCACCAGGTCTGCATCCAGACCCCTCTCTAGATTTAGGCCTTATTTGGGTTCAAAAAAACAACCCCAACATATAGCCCACAGTGCGAATCTCTCATCTTTAATTTTTACCAGCACACGCAAGCTCTGTTAGCCCTTAAAGACCCAGAGGTATTTTGTGGGCACCTAATGGGCCTATATTATTATTTTTTTAAAGCAGTTTTATTTTAGCAGTCAGCCTCAAGTGTCATATATCATTTTAAACAGGAGAACCTGAAGTTTCAATCTGTATCATTTAAAGGTCCAGTCTAAAATATTTTTTGGTCCAAAAACATATGAACAGACAGAAAATATTCCAGAATTTTCCA